TTACTACTTCTGCAACATTTTTGTCAATCACCATTTTTGTTTTCCATTGAGGCATCCTTTTAATGTTGCCATGAATTTGCTTCATAGCAAAATTTATCATTGCGTATCGGCGGCAACTGGAAAAAATCACCAGCAATTATCAACTAATAAATAAAGTTAATAAGAATATACAGATATGTACATTAATATATTTGCATAACAATTGAAAGTTATTATCGCTAAAATGTTAAATTATTGGATATCAATATAAAATGTATGTATTTGTTCATCACACTTACTAATATGCCACCAAATGGTCTGTTGTCTTTATGAACAGAACGTGCAATTTCTTCCAATTTGTCAAACAACTCACCATCGAGTGTTGACACTATATTCAATAATTAAATTATTATGTTTTATTGATCAATCAAAAAATAAAAAAATAAAATAAATATATATATACCTTCATCTATAATCAATGCTTGTGTAGCTCTCCAACGTAAAATGTTGGGATAGTAACTTTCAACTTTCTCAATTAATTCTTTTACCGTCCCATTCTCCAATCCTATCCCACAGAATGAATGTAATGTTGTTCCACTTAGTTCAACAGCTGCAATTCCTGTGGTTGCAGTCACAGAAACTGTACCTTCCCCAAACAATTTTTTTAGAGTATTTATTATTTTTGATAATAAATAACTTTTCCCCGTCCCTGCTGCCCCCGTGAAGAAAACGTTTTCCTTATCTCTAACAACGAGATCATATACTTGTTGCTGTTCTTTCGTCAAACTTTCCTCCCTGTAAAAAATATACTCCGTGATTAGCCTCAGTGTTTTTCCGTTATTAAGCTCAGTGTTTTTTTCCATTTATATTAATAAACTAGAGTGACGACGAGTGGCGGGCGATAACCACCACCACCATCATTAAAACACTTATCCACTTCCCCCAGCTCGAACATCAACTCTTGTTCTTTTATTCGTTGCAGATTTGGACATTTTATAAAAGAAAGAAGTTTTGTGATACGATCGACGCGTACACTAATTATTTATCCTACAGTGCAGAAGCTCTATAATAGGAACAAATGTTGCCTTTTTTAAAAGGGTGTAGATCACCCAAAAAAAATTTTTAAAAAAAAGTACACCATAATTTTGATAGCTAATGACCTTAACTTTAAAACTTACGGTTTAGAATTTTATTTTATATATAAATTTTTTGTGCCA